TAGTATTGTTAAAAAGTCCGATTCAAGTCGATTTTAAACGGCCCAATTAGGTTTTAGCCATAATAATATTAAATAAAGCTGATGATTTTGCACAAAGATGGCCAAAAGGTTTAGACTGCTTACTTAAATATAATATTATTTAGGCTAAAATTCTGATCGGGCCTTTTTAAAATACGACCCAAATCGAACCTTTTAATAACATAAATTAGGTTATATAATCGTGAAATGACATTCGTAAGATATTATTTAATAATTTTTGTCGAAGTTTAGGTTTATTAATTACCTCAGTCTTTTGCTTAGATTATTGATATTTTGAATATCTTGTCCTAAAAATCAGGGGCGGACTGGCCATAATACCCGGTGGGCATTTTGCCCACGAGGCCGCGAGAAAATGTCGATTTTGAGGCCGATCGGAGGAGAATATAAATAAAGAGGCCGATTAGAAAAAAAAATAATATTATTATGTCCATAATATTTTCTATTATCATTTATTTATTTTTAATATTCCTTGAGAATTATCATGTAATTTACTATATTTGAATGCATAAAATATTAATAACCTTGCTTGACGCTATACGTCATTATCACGTGCTTTTTCTTGTTTTTTTTTCGAATGAAGTGAATCGCTTCCATTTGAGCTTGACTACGAGTAGAGTGTAAATTAAGTTTTAATTAATTTATTATATTATATTTTTATACATTAATTTATTGTAGAAATAATATAGTTAACTTTTGTTATTGTATTGTTCTTAATTCAAGAAAAGAAAATAAATAAAACCCAGGTATAATAATAATTTTAATAAATAAATTTTTGATCAATTTGATTTTCTAAAGTTTCTTTTAATATTAATTTATTGTTATTTTATTATATTATTACTAACTAAGCTTAACTCAACGAACACAGATTGTTAAAATCTCACCCAATATTTGGATCGCAACAATTTACTAATCATTTGCAAACAAATCTAATTTAATATTTATATAGCTATTTTTTGAGATGTGTGTAAAAAGTCAAAAGTAAACAACTTATTTATATTTCATAACCCATAGATAGTAATTAATGTTTTTTTATTATTACTGGCTGGTTCATGATTTTTATAAAATATTTTGAATTTCCAGTTCACATCTTATAATATTTTTTTTAGCCTTAAGTTATAAAATAATAATAATAAATCTTTTATATTATCATGCATAGAAATGCCAAAAGAAAATTTAAGGGTGGAGCTAAAAAATTAAGAGAAAAAGATGTTGCTTGTGTCAAAGCAGCTGGTGCTGATCCAAAACAACTTAAATTATCTTTCTTTGATAAATCAATACCAAGTATTTATAATGCTAGTACTTCATATTAAAAAATCTCTTATTTAGGAATATCAGCAACTACCTCCCATTCACATCTACCTGAAACAACTACATTATCTGCAACATCTTCTTTTATTATTGCATCAGTTCAATCATTGCCACACCCACCTATAACTAAATTACCACCATTACAGCTGATAAATCATTCACACACCCTGAAAATACATTATCTACAATTACAGCAATACCATCTTTATTATCCTCACACTTGTCAGAAGCAACTACATCAATAATGCCTTCAGATATTTCACAAAGTGGATTATCAGAATTGAATATGCATAAACATGAAAATTTTAAGCTGCAATTAACACTATACCACAAAAACTTGCATTCTTAATGCAGCATCCTATACAACCAATAAATAGTAAATATGATAAATTATATTATCGAATGGTAATGAATAAAAAAATACCTAGAAAATGGATTAAAATAGAACTAATGTGCAATAAAGCCAACTGTGTACTGCTCATTCTGCCTGGCATTTGAGTATATGAAAACACTTTTACAACAGGCTCAACAAATTTTCGTCATATGCATTCAGTAATTAAAATACATGAATTCAAAAGTACATATTAGTGCTGTCGAGGCCTACCTCAGATCATCAAAAAATAAGTCATTTGAAATTCAATTAGTATTAAAATATTAAATGAAAAAAATCTACAAATTTATAGCAATGTCCACATAATAAAACAAATATTTGAAATAATAAAGTTTTTAGGCAAACAAAACTTACCCTATAGAGGATTAAATGCTACTGAAACACTTAGCCACTTTGCAAATGAAAATTTGAATCATGGGAATTTCCTGGAAATGATTCGTATTATATCAAAAAATGATCAAATATTAAGAGATCAGAGAAGGCTATTTTAAAGAGCAAACGTAGAAAAGAAAAGCTTAAACTCTCTGAAAAATTAAAATCAAGGGAAGAGGTTCTCTCATAACCGTGTTGTCGAAAACAACTGTTAACAAAGTTATAGATGTTGTTCTTGATCAAATCAGGAATTTAATAAAAAAAGAGATTGGTAACAAACGTTTTAGTTTGCAAATGGATAGTACTCAAGACATTAGTGTTTATGATCAAGCAACTATTTGCCTACCATACATATATAATGGCAAAATAACAGAAAGGCTTTTTGCACTTACAAAATTACAAACTCTTCTGGAAAAAGATTTTTTGATATCTTGAGTGAATGCTTATTAAAACATGGAATTCAAATGAGAAATATAATTGGAGAATCATTTGATGGTGCGGCAAATATGCGGGGTGAATTTGTTGGGTTGCAAGCTCTTATTAGACAAGAGGCTCCAAGTATTTGTATATTTGGTGTTATAGTCGCATATTAAATCTATGTATATGTGATTCATGCCATAATGTTGTAGGCAAAAATTTATTTGGATTGTTGAACAGGCTAGCCTCTATCTTTGGTGCATATAAAAGGTTGGATGCTTGGGTGAAACGAATAACTCATCTGGCCAAAATAAGTTGAGAAGACTGCAAAAAATATGGACAAGGTGGTGGGCACGTGAAAAAGCCCTTAAATGGATATATGGCAAAGAGAGCCTACTTCCAATAACGATAAGTGCCTTACAATTTATAATTGATAATAAATCATTTGAGGCAAAAACCTCATCAGAAGCACAGTCTTTGATTGATAATTTATGTAAATTTAAGACTCTAAGTACTGCTATAATATATTTAGAAATTTTTGAAATAATGGGGCCATTTCATTATATCTTCAAACTAAGAATTTAGATATTTTATCAGAGTGGAAAATGATAGAAGATGCCAAGTCTTCTGTGTCATCAATAACTATTACTTCAATTCAAAATAAAGCAACAAAAATGGCTTCTAATTTAAATGAAACACTTTCATATTTAAAGCTCCCAGAGAGTATCTGGGTACAAACTGCTCTGCCAAAAAATCGAATAGGACGAGTGAAGAGAATATATAGTGACGAAGGCCAAGATGAACGTCCTCAAAAATCGATTGACCTTTATAAGGTTGAAGTATTTCGTCCTATAATTGATCAAATTATAAACAGCTGTCGGAACGGTTTTCTGCGAATAAAGAGCTTATTTTGAATGTGCAATATTTGCATCCAAGGCATTTTGAGGATATAAATAGTAAAGGTCTTTCTGAAAAGGCCTTAGAAAAACTGGCACAATTGGCAAATTCAAAGATTTAGTGGAAGAATTAAATGAAACGGACAATGATATCGTATATACAAGTGAGGATTCATATGAAGAAGATGAAATATTACAAAATAATAATAACTCAAAATTTGATAATAGATGTAACAAGGGTTTAATATGTGTGTACGAAATTATTAAAAGATACAATATGCATACAAGTGCTTATACTAATTTATTTTTAGCCATATGAATACACTTTAACTTTATCATTTACGCAAGTCAATTGTGAGAGAACATTTAGTAAATTATAAAAAATAGGATGAGAGCGAATATAGGACAAGAAAAATTAGAAGCATTTTTATTGATGTCAGTTGAACAGGAACTTTTAGCGCAAATTGAACTAAAAGATATTCTTGTTTATTTGCGCAAAGGTTCTAAGTTAATGAGAGATTTATTAACTTAAAAATTATATATTAATTCTTTTATTTAAATCGTATTTATATCTATTTACAATATGATCGGCGGTAGCAATTTATTTTCTGTGCAATATTGTATAATTGCAATAATTTTTTATGTGAAATTAATTGATTTTATATATTGAGTATTATGTATTATTTTATAATTAACATGTGATGTAGGATTTAATTTTAATGTGCATTCTCGTTGTATATCTAATATAAAATATATGTGCAATAAATATGATTTTAGATGTGCAATTTTTTGAAATAAAATATATGAGTATCGTATCATTATTCTTTTTTTTTTAAAAAAATGTACATTGTTTGTACCTATTTTCAAAAATAAGAAGTTATAAAAATCATATAAGCCATTTAAGGGAACCCGGCCGAAGATCGGGCAAAAGCGGGACAAAATTGGTGATATGGGGGCCATAAAAAAAATGCCCACGAGGCCGTAGCGTCGCCAGTCCGCCCCTGCTAAAAATTATAATGAATTCATAGAATATATTCCTACTTTTTATTAAGCATGAATTATAAAATTAATATTAGCTGGGAAAACACAAATTCTTAAATTAATTATTAGTACTAACTAAGATAAGTATCGTGATGAGATGTTTTTAACTTATCTGATCCAAGAGATTAATTAGCATACATAGACCGATAAAATGTTGCAATTATTCAGTATTTTATATACCGTTTATCACTTAACCAGATTTTAAAATATATTTAACATTAGGCGATCTCTATTTTAACAAAAGGTGGATTTTTTTCCTCATTTAAAATTGTTTGCTCTTAAGCACTATGCCGTTAAAAATTTCAAAATTTAATTTTTAGATGGCTACATATTTTTTAGACACTAATAATATTTATGTTCTTGAACATTATTTTCTAGTTAAGATACAGGGATAGTTAATTATAAAATAGCTTTCTTTCTAATAATTTAGGTTTTAGTATCCAAGTGGAGTTTAATATTAGCTAGAAAATTCTAAAATTAATTACCAATAGAAAAAAAACTAATATTACCAATCACGACAAGACACATTATTTAACCCACGTTTGTTATAAGTGTTCTAAAATTTGTTTAAAATTTTTACACTTGAAATTCGAAATTGACAAAACATATAGCAAATGATTTTTCTCAAACTATTATTACTTTTACTTATTCAATCTGGATTCTGTGAAGATAAAAGCACAAAGCCAGAAACATCAGGAGTAATAGTGGGGATTGATTTAGGAACAACATACTCATGGTTTGTTATTTTTACAGTCATTTTTATAAATATTTTAGTGTTGGCGTTCATAAGAACGGCAGAGTCGAAATAATTGCAAATGATCAAGGAAATCGTATTACTCCTTCAGTTGTTGCATTTACTCCTGATGGTCAAAGACTGATTGGTGATGCAGCTAAAAATCAATTAACGATTAATCCAGAAAATACCGTTTTTGATGCAAAACGATTAATTGGGCGTAAATGGGATGACGCTACTGTACAAAATGACGCCAAATATTTTCCTTTTATAGTAATCATAATAATTATGTACATCTTTTAATTTTAATATTCAATAGGTAAAAGAACAAAATGGTAAACCATATATTCAGGTGAAAGTAGGAGATGAGGAAAAAGTTTTTGCACCTGAAGAAATATCAGCTATGGTTTTAACAAAAATGAAAGAAATTGCCGAAGCATATTTAGGCCAGATAGTATTTATATTTGTCTATAATTTTATCTTATAATCATACAGGTAACAAATGCTGTGATAACAGTTCCAGCTTATTTTAATGATGCTCAAAGACAGGCCACCAAAGATGCTGGAGCTATTGCTGGTTTAAATGTTATGAGAATCATCAATGAACCGTATGCTTGATATTATCATATGTTAATCTGTGTATATTCTAGAACTGCTGCTGCATTGGCATATGGCTTAGATAAAAAATCTGGGGAGAAAAACATATTGGTCTTTGATTTGGGAGGTGGAACTTTTGATGTATCAATATTAACTATTGATAATGGTGTATTTGAAGTTGTTGCCACTAATGGAGATACACATTTAGGTATGATATTTTTTAATAGCAATTTGTCTTAACTATTTAATTAAATTAAAACAGGTGGTGAAGATTTTGATCATAATGTAATGGAATATTGTATGAAATTATTCAAAAAAAAGACTGGAAAAGACATTTCCAAAAATAATCGTGCTGTTCAAAAGTTGAGACGAGAGGTTGAGAAGGCTAAAAGAACTCTTAGTAATTCCCATCAAGTCAGAATTGAAATTGAATCCTTTTTTGAGGGTGAAGATTTTTCAGAAACCTTAACAAGAGCCAAATTTGAAGAACTTAATATGGTAAATAAATATACCAAACATTTTAATTGTTATTTGGATTGATCTGGGTTGGGTCAAATGTTTAATCATGCTAGATGGGATTTTAAATAAATTTAACATTAATTAGCCATCAGGAATTTATAATTTATATACTATTGTACATTTTCAATTCTATTAATGAATATGCAAGGCATAAGCATAATATATTATATGATAGAAATCACATGACATGAACTGGCCAAATAAAAGTGAAAGGTTTTTTTTGCTGCCCATAAATAAAATTTTATAAGACTGCGGAATAATTTTTTTAAAGTTATATGTGCAGAAATCATAAATCTGCATTGTTCAAATTATTTGATGGTTGGTTACCCTAAAATTATTTAGCTCGTGGGCTTGGGAGATCTCTATCCTAGTGATCTGCATCGGGCCTAGCCCGGCCTGAAATTTTTTTTAAAAAAGTTTTCCTGCCCCAGCCCAAACCCGAATTTTTTTAGAAAATTTAGCTGGACCGGCTCGAACCCTAATTTTTTTTATTCATCCCATAGTAAAAATTATTTGTCCGCCCTATAGAAATTAATTTTTTTTTAGCTTTTAGTTTATTTTTTATATTTAACATTTTGTATTTTCTTAGTAGACACTAGACAGACAATTTATTTAGTATTTAATTATTTATTTAAAATACTATCAAAAATACCTATAAACCAAACAAATAATAATTATAATGTTAAATTACACAACTATATATTAGATTCATACTTATAATTATCATTTAAAAATATTAAAGCATCAACATTTTCAAATTTCAGTCTATTTCTTCTAATAGCCTTTTAGTCTTTGAAAACGTTCTCTCTGGCATTGTGGACGTTGCAGGAATAGCTAGAATTTTTCTAGCCAATTTCGTCATCTTTGGTAATCTAATTTCATTTTTGCTCCAGCATTTTAATATATCTTTTTCTGGATCTATATTTTCTATATTCTCTTTTATATTCAAATTCTTATAAATTTCAAGCTCATCTGTTTCTTTTTTTCAAATTCTTTCTCATTGTCCTTCCATCTTTCATATTCATTGTCTGATATAGTCTTGTTAAAAGGCTCGATTTGAGCCAAATTTTAAAAACGACTAACTCAATATTTTATCTAGAATAATATTACGCAAGTCTGAAGATTTTGCTCATATATGGCACAAAGGTCTAGACATCAATTAGCAAAATCTCAAGGCTTAGGCAATATTTTTCTGGCTAAAATATTAAATTAGCCTTTTTTAAAAATCGGCTCAAAACGAGCCGTTTAACAACACTAGTCTGATATATAAAAATAAGATAAATAGAACAATTTTAAATGTACCTTTAGATCTTTTAGGAGATTCCATAATTTGAGAAACGTCTTGTATATCCAAATCTATAATATCAATTGAAGGTTTACAATATTCTTCAGAATTAATTATATTTTTTACTGAATTTTCTACTTCTAATATTTCTATTGATGAGATAACATTCTTAATTTTCTATATTTGGGGCATAAAAATGTCGCTATTTTATGCAAAATATCGATTTTAAATTAAGATAATAAAAAAAATTTTAAATTGGTTTTTATTTGTTTTATTTCAATGTTTTGAAAAGTATCATTTAAATCCTCGTGAAGAATATTATTAAAGCATAGCAGTACTTTATATTAAGTAGGATTAATATCTCCTTCTAGTTCTTTAGTACTTTATCAAAAGGATGTAAAATATCAATCAAATTTTTTAAAATAGATTTCTCCAAGTTTTCCATTTTATTAATATTTCCCTTGGATGATAAAAAATTGACGATGTCATCATATTGGTTATAAATAGATTTCAACATATATAATTTCGAATTCCATCTTGTTTCGATATCTTGTTGTAATGTTTTGTCTAAATATTGATTCATGCCACTTTGTTTAAAATACATGGTTAATTTTTTAGCAGAAATAAGGGTTTGATATATATTAGGAGCGATAAAGATTGTTCCTTCAAGGTATTTCAAAGAACTGTATTTAACAGATGTGCACTGCAATTTAATCTGGTGTATTTTTCTAGGGCTTTAATTACATTAGCTCCTTGATCAGATATAAATAATATATTTTTCACTTGATCGGGAATTATTCCAATTGCAGCAAAAAACATTTGTTCTAATTTGATCCGTCATAACTATAGCATTTCTCGATAAAGTAGTTGGATGGGGAATAATTTTGCTACAGTCAATATTACCGTAAATGGAGCCAATTTGAATAAAATTTTGAGCCATTTTTATAAAGCCATCTCCAGTTATCGAATAAAGGCACACATGTCCTTGGCACAATAATAGATCATGGTATCATATTTTCTTTTTAATAGTTAAGAAAGAATTCATATCTATGGTTTTCTTTTGAATATCTCTAGTTATTTTAGGAATAGAGAAATAGTCATTCTTAACACACTTGTGACATCTTAAATGAGATTTTCCAGATGTACTTTTATATTGTAATATATTATTACATTTTTGGCAGGACATAATCAAGTTTTTTGTTTTTATCATCAAATATGTCTTCAAAATTTTCCCATATATTGCTTTTACCTAAATAGGGCTTACAAATATATGTTCCATTTTTTATGATTTTTTAAAAAAATAAAATCCATTTTTAAATTATTGTTAAATTTTATAAAAAATTTTACAATTTAAGTTTTATTATTAATTATTATACTCAAAATAAAAGATATATGACATGACATATGGTGCTTAGTTTTTAACTAAATAAAATTAAATATTTATTTTACAAATAAAAATTGTTGCCACCTTGTTTCTTAGAAAAAAGTTTAATTATATATTTATTTTAGATACATGACATATGGCGTCTAGTTTCTACAAATAAAATTAAATATTTTTATTTTACAAAAAAAAATTGGACCCAATTTATTAATTATATTTTAAAATTTTTTCCAAGGCCCAGCCGAATTTTTTTTAAAAATATTAGGCCCGACCCAACCCGAACCTGAATTTTTTTTAAAACTTTGCAGATCTCTACTCTATCCTGTGATCTTAAAAAACATTTAGAATTTTTTTTTAGTTTTTTGATATTTTTATATTCAGGGCTCAGAATAAAAAATTGGCCTTGGAAAAATAAAAATGAATGCTTAAGGAGTGAACCAAATTATTTAATAAATTGCATTTTTAATTAATTTTTTTGGACCATCCTGGGATAACCTTTCCTTTCACGTTTCATAATTTTCTCCTAGTTCTTTTCCTAGAACATTCTATTTCATAACCCTGATTAAATGAGGCAGCCATATAATAATTAATAATAAAATAATTTAGAAATAATTTTATCTATTTTAATTTTATCAAATTGCCATATAAATATTTTTGAAAATTAGGTTGCATCTTTAATTTATAATATTTTGTAGTGCTGTAAACCTAACATGTTCAATGTTCATTTACAAAAATTGAACATCAATGTTCACCTTCAAAAAAAGAAACATGTTCATGTTAGTTCACTTTAGAAATAAATCCCATATATTTTTTAACACAATTATTAGACATGTTTAAAATTAATAGTTTTAAATGAAATTTTATATTAATTATATATAAAATATAGAAAGTTAGTGAAAATCTTGATTTAGCCATTTTTTTATCAACTAAATTGAAGTTTTTATTTAATAGCACTACTTTTTAATTTTAAAATTTTGTTGCATAATTAAGTTAAAAGTATCCTTTTGAACTATATTAATAAAAGTTGAAAGAATACATATACTGATTTTAAATAGAAAATTATATATAGGTTTAAATCTGGTATATAATTGATATAGAATTATGTTTTTTATCAGGTCATGTTTAAGTCTACTCTCAAACCAGTGGAAAAGGTCCTTCAAGATGCTGATCTTAAAAAGACAGACATTGATGAGATTGTTTTGGTGGGTGGGTCTACGAGAATTCCCAAAATTCAAGCCCTCGTCAAGGAGTATTTCAATGGTAAGGAACCTTCTAGAGGCATTAACCCGGATGAAGCTGTTGCTTATGGGGCAGCTGTTCAGGCTGGAGTTCTGTCTGGGGAAAGTTCCTCTAGTAAACTTATATCCTTAACTTATTTGTTATAGTTATCTGTGGTGTTCCATGCATTGTTACAAGACATTATGTTTATTATATTTGATTTATCATATATTTTATTACTGAGATACTCTAATTAATATTATCATCTACAGGTGACGTTGTACTGTTGGATGTCAACCCACTGACTATGGGCATAGAAACGGTTGGTGGAGTGATGACTAAACTCATTCCCAGGAATACAGTTATTCCAACAAAAAAATCACAAGTTTTTTCGACAGCTGCTGACAATCAAAACACTGTCACTATTCAAGTAAACCTAAGCTTCTTTTAACTTTATTGAAAACCCTTATTGTTTATAATACTAAGAAGTATCATACTATTATATCTATATATATTTTATAAAAATTATAAAAATTATTAAAAAGATTAGCTATGCTAATCTGTAAAATTTTTATCGATCCAATATTTACAATAATTTTTACTATCTTTTTGAATCAATATAATATCTACAGTAAATGAAAAAAAATTCAACTTCCAAAATTTTACTAACAAATTTTTTACCATATAACATTTTGTACAGGAATATCTATGAAAAATACAATGATAATTTAAATAAATAATGTTTTATTTTTTTATTAAAAATAAACAATCTCTGTGATTAGGACAAATCAGTATTAATTTTTTATATATTAAACTTTGTAAAATTCATTTAATTAAAAATATAGGTCAGGCAGGCATAAAATATATATTGAGGTTGAGCCATATTCAGGCCGAAAAAATTGAATTCGATACTTTGGAATTTTAAAGGACGGATAGAATTTTTACATGTAAAAATACCCCGAAAATATACAAATTTATGCATATAATTAGGTATTTGAGGGTGAACGCCCCATGACGAAGGATAACCACTTGCTTGGCAAATTTGACTTGACTGGCATACCCCCTGCCCCTCGAGGTGTTCCTCAAATTGAAGTAACTTTTGAGATTGATGTGAATGGAATTCTCAAAGTGTCTGCCGAGGACAAGGGAACCGGAAACAAGGAGAAGATTGTCATTACAAATGATCAAAGTCGTCTTTCTCCAGAGGATATTGAAAAAATGGTAAATATTTCTTTAATATCAATTTTGAGTTAAGTGAGGTTAAAACGAAAGTTAATGATTGCTGAACTATAATTTTGAAATTTGAGTATTAGACTTCTAATTCATTTTTTTAAAACTTGAATTAGGCCAAAGCAAATATTGGTGCGAATATTCTTTCTTTGGGTGAAGTGATGCATAAATGTGTGCTGCATTTTGAATTGTAGTTAAACCTTTTTAGGGTTTCTCATTCAAAAAAGGAATCATAAGAGGGAAACGTCCGATCAAAAAGGAAAAGGTCAGATCAAAAAAGGAAAAAGGTCAGATCAAAAAAGGTTCTATAAAAAAGGAAAAGTGTCAATCAAAAAATGAAAAATCTCATAGGCTTAGGAAAAAGGCCGATCAAAAAGCGAAAAGTTTCAAACTTAAAAGGAAAAGCGTCGATCAAAAAAGAAAAGTCCCAAAAGAAAAAAGAAAATCGTTATTTTTAAATTTTTTGTTCCTATATTATTTCTAACTTTCACTTTTAGTCTTTATTTTTTTAATCTTATCTCTTTTCTCTTCATTTTTTTATCTTTGTAAAAATAATTTATTTTAATTTTTCATTTGCAGGTAATTTTTATTAGAATTGTTTGCATATCAAATTATTTAATACAATTACTATATATAATGTAAAATATGTTAAGAAACAAAAATTTATATTAATATTGATAATTTTCCCTCTTCTACATTTTGAAGTATAGGTCTCAATATTTCTAAAATAATTCTTTGCATTTTATTCAGATATTCCTCTATCTCCAAGCTCCATAAAACGAATTAAATCCTCCTTGTTATTTTGATTTATGACAAAATACTTCCATTGAAAAAACATTTTTGATGGGATTAAGATAAGGACTGTAAGGTGGTAAATATTTTATTGTATGATCTCTACTTTCTACGATTCCCTAATTGTATGCTTATGATGAAATGATATTCATCATTTATCTTCAAGATAATTTAGTATTTCATTTACAAAGTTGCTAAAGTGTATAGCATTGCAGGGGCCATCAAGAACCTTGAATAGTATAATTCATTGTTTTTATCCCTTGAACATTTTTAATAGCCTTTTTATTTATTTGTATATATCAATATAACCGCCTCATTCTTATTTAAAACCCACTCACATCAATAAAGATAAATTTTTCTTTCACATAGGCTACATCTAAAGCACGATATTTGATTCGGTATTTTCTCTAACTGTGAACGTTAAATTCTAAGAGTAACCTTGATATCGTATTTTTTGATATTTCCACATCATATCTTTATTTAATCATTACACATAACCTTTTTAAGGATAAAGTGCAATTCAAATTTATACAATTTAATATATCTTCTTCATGTTCTTGATTTAACTTCTTGCTAGCACGTGAACCTCCTTTGGGAAAATTATATTTATTCCATTTTTGAGATGGGATTTAATATTTGTAACTGTATAGCCTACTTTAAAATATAAAGCTATATTTTTGATACTATCCATTTTAATGCGTCAATTTTAGAGCTTTTGTTTCACTGTTAATGTTTTTATCCCTTGATGGGCGGACGTGTGAGCAGGCAAATTTTTTTAAAGTTTTTATCATTTTTTCATGATTTTAAATATATACTCAATAATTGGAATGAATGACAAAAAATGACTAAAATCATTTATTATAACATATATTTAATTATTCATAAATCAGAATATAGTATTAAAAATATTACAAAAAAATTATTTACTTGCTCAAAAGTATTAAATGCTTCTTGCATAAATATTAAAATTTCAAAGTAAGAATTTATATATGATTATATCTTATTTATTTACATAACGTTGGTATTATAGTTCAAACTTATTTTTAAAAGGGTACATATAACCAACGATTAATTTAAATTGTAATTAAATAATTTGATGCAAAAAATTTTAATTGATAAAAATTAACTGCCAATGAGAAATTTAAATGAAAATAAATTATTAATATAAAGATAAAAAAGAATGATCAAAAATGAGAAGAAAAGAAAATTGAGAAAAGTAAAGATTAATAATGTCTTAAAGAGATTGCAAAAAGTTAGAAATAAAATAAGAACAAAAAATGTAAAAATTTAAGAAAAATTGACCAAAATTTTTTTTTTGATTGGACCGTTTCCTTTTTTGTTTGACACTTTTCCTCTTTGATCGGACCTTTTCCTTTTATGATTGACACAATCGAATATTACAATATTCAATTTGATTTATGTAAATATTTTGTTATTCGTCTTTGCACATTATTCGCTTAAATTTTAAATCGATATGATATTTGTTGATAAAAGGGTGGATTGAATATTAGTTTTTAATTATTTTTTCAATATTGTTTAATGTAAAATAAATAAACTTCTGGGAAACGTATACATTATTGGAAAAAAATTGTTTATTTTTTTTGCTGCTTATAAAATTGAAAAATGTTAATACTTTATGCAATTATTAGAAATATTATATCATTCACATTGAATGATTTTCCATACGCTCTCTGATAAATCACGATTTTTGATGGAATAAATAGCAATTCTTTCTTTCAAATGATATTGGACATTGACCGTCTCTATCATATTTCATGGTTACTGATGAGTTATGAAAATAAATATTCGACTTTCCCCTATATTTTAAATAAGATATAGCAACAACTCTTCTAACCTTAATTTAAATCTATGATCTAATACCAACTTGATAATTTAGATATACTAGTTTACTACCTTGTCAAATCGACGAGAAAATAAGCATTTACTATAAGTTTATAGTCACGGAAATGAAATTTGTGCTCGTTAACTTAATAATACCTGAGATATTCGGAATAAAAAGTTGAAAAACAAGACATCTTTGCTTCTTTCAATAAATTTATTAGTTATTCTTTAACAACGAAATTAAAAATATTTTTTTTACATTGTAGGGATGTACCGATATTTTTTATAGGAACGGGCCGATATTTCACCCATTTAAAAATGGTTATCCACCAATATTATATAATTTTCCGATCCGATATAAAATGGCGTCTTTAACAAAAATAAAATTTTTGAAAAAAGTCATATCTAAAATCATTTATTTTTATAAATAAAATTTAAATCCATTTTTATGTATTATTTTATAATAATTAATTAATAAACATCCTGCCATATTGTTATTTTTTGCGCATTCTGTTTATAACAGTGTGTGAAAATCTCTTCAGAATCTGTTTTTAGTGAAGCTGGTGTTATTGACCATCGCCACAGGCTGACCTCTGATAAATTGGAAATGTTGGTATTTCTAAAAAGAAATCTTCGATATATTAAATATTATTTTAAATATTTATTTTAAATTTCATAATATATTTGTTTATAACTTATTATGTATAGATTAATGTTATATAAAAGTGATTTAACAATAAAAATATTTTATATACTTTTAGAATTGCAATTGAATTGGATATAAAATATAACTGTTTAATGACATAAGTTATGTTTAGGGCTGTGCCGATATTTAGCGTTTGAAAATATCGGATCTGGCCGATACCTGTAAAAACCGATCCGATCTTTTTACTTTTTTTTGTTATTTCATTTTATGTTATGTATATTTATTTTACATTATTTTAATATTTTCTAAATAATTTTTATTAAATAAATTTATAGTATTTAAAATTTTTTTTTATAAAAATAGAAAGGAAACCCAAAGTTTTATTTATTTAAAATCTTTTTAAATAACGCCAATTTTTTTATTTATACTTTAAATAAAAGAATTTTTTTAAATATATTATCTGAATTATGTAAATATTTTACAAAAGACAAAGATAATTTTGCAAAATGCATTATCTGCGGAATCATCTGAGTCTGCCTTCAGTACGGCAGGAGATATAGATAGTCCATATCGTAGAAGCTTATTTTCAGAAAATCTAGAGGCTCTCATATTTATTAAAAAAATCTAATATATTATAATTTTATATATTAAATATGGTTATTGCTTAAGTATTTTTTTCTACCCGCATTATGGAATTGCAACAAGTATGCTCTATTCCTAAAGGGATTAATTGATTATTAAGGCAAAATTGATAAGTTGTTTCAACAGTATTAGTAAACACACCTAGTGTAAAAATATTCATTTTAAAAGAAAAAAACGGAAATAATATTAAGTTAGTATGGAAGGAATCATATTATATATATACATAATCTAATAATAATCGGAACTACAAATTATTTCTTTAAAAAAACAATTTTTTAAAAAAATATGTAGACACAATTCTTTTACCTCCCCTCCCTAGGAATTAAGAAATATTTTTAAAAAAGAAAAAAATATTTTAAAATATCTTAAAAGAAAAAATACATATTAATTTAAAAATTTATCACCAAATAATAAAAATATACTACATTATTTTAAAAATTTATCACAAAAAAAAATTATCACTAAATAATAAAAATATGCAAACAATATTTTAAAAATTTATCACAAAAAAAATTATCACCAAATAATACTATATTAATTTAAAATAACATTTAAAAAAAACATAAAAAAAGTAACAAAAAAAAAATAAAAAAATAATAATATACCCCTCGACTTAAGCAATAACCCTTAAATATTACAATTTTATAATTCCAACATAAAATGGATATATTATTAAATATATATTTTTTTATTATAGTCTTAATTGTCGAAATAAAAAAATTAAATTATTCATAATTCGATTTTTTGCATAAAAAATATTGATTTCTTAATTACATTTGGTTCAAACTGGGGTGATTAAAAATCAGTAAAAATATCGGTATCGGATCGGGTTTGAAGCAATATCGGATCGGTGAAAAATATGTGGATCGGCACATCCCTAATTATGTTTAATTATAAATGTTATACTAATAAAAAGTATATTAAATATTAAAACCATTGGTATCTTTACAGAATAAAAAATTAGATATGACACCGGATAGGTAATCGACTGATATCAATTTAATATCGGATCGGCCTCCAAAATGTGGTATCGGCACATCTCTATACATTAGCCATTATCCATTAGAAAATTTAATATTTTAAAAGTACAATGTCCTCCAATTTAATTTTTATTATGTTCATTTACTAATTATCTTATATTTCCATCAATAATTTGTGTTGCAAATAAATATTTTCAAAAATTAATTCAAATAAAAAATAATGATGGCTTTATGTTTAATATTTTAATGCAATAAATTTTTTTATTGCTTAGAATCATTTTAAACTATAATTGGTTTAAAAGTAACGATATTACCCATAATTTGATTGCTATCAAATGTTTTAAAACTTATCGAAAAAAGCTTTTTATTGCATTAAAACATTAATAAATATTGCTATTTTATATTTTAGACATAGTCATTATTTGGGTTAAGATTTTTGTTAATTAAAACCTTAGAAATTGGGGGTCTTTGTTCTTTTAAAATTTTAATTTTTCTAATGGACATAATATGACCAGTGTTACATATTATAGTTAAATCGATTTTTTTGGTCTAAGTCCGACCAAAATCTGGAGTAAATTTTTTTGAGATATTGGCCCAGCCAGCAAATGGAATTTCATCATGATTTTAGCCAGTTCCCACCCTGTCATACATTTTTTAATCGGCATCTCGTCCTGATTCTCCTATTGCTGAACATGTTTCAATTTAGAGTACCATTACCATCATAATAATTAATAGATTAGCGTTCTCGATTCCCATTTTAACTTATACCATGTCTTAGCATGTATTGTAGGTGTTACTTTAAGAGTTCTTGTTCCTCTTGAGTGCCCTAAATTATGGAAACGAGAAATTCATTAAGTCCATATCCTTCAGACATTTTGCTAGCCAATAGTATTTGGGAGTTTTCCGCGTTCCATCCGTGGACCATTTCATAGACTAAATATATTATTTTGAGAATATCATAAGTTATGGCCACTAGGCTCCTCAAGGGGATATTGATTGCTAAAATGTCGCACTTATTCCACAGAATTGAGTTCGAGGTGTTTATGGGTAATATGATTTATTTACATAAGTGGGTATCGGAGCATTGCATTATTCGTTCTCGACTTTGTGTCCAGTGTGGTTATACCTAATGAATTTATTGTACTTTATAAAAAAAATGCACGCATCTAGGTCAAAGACGCCGAAAAGTTTGCCGACGAGGATAAGAAACTTAAAGAGAGAGTGGAATCTCGCAACGAGCTCGAATCATACGTTTATTCACTCAAAAATCAGATATCAGAGACAGGTGAAGGCAAATTGGGTTCTAAATTGTCGCCCGAGGAAAAATCGGCTATTGAGAAGGCTGTTAAAGACGGGATAGAGTGGATGGAGAGTCACAAAGATGCCGAACCTGAAGAGTACCGGGAAAAGAAGAAGGAGGTCGAGGGAGTAGCCCAACCTATTATAACCAAGCTTTATGGGGCTCAAGAAGGAGGGAAGGCCCCTCCACCCCCAGAGGGTGACTCCGAAAAGGATGAATTGTAATGTTCGCATGGCTGGGAGAATGGGAGTTGATTGAATGAGCATAACAATGTGTAGAAAATTATAATTTATTAATTATATTTTAAACTATATTTTATGAATTAAAAATAATTGTAGATAAAAAAATTAACATTTCCACTTGTGAATATTTCGTTAAATTTAACTATGGATGTAATATTTTATTGATTGGGATATTATTTAATTTTGTCTTTTCTTTTTAAATGATTTTAATGTCGAATATTTGTGACACAAATTTTATTTAAAAATAAGTATAAATAACAAATTTAATGTCTGTGTTTTATAATAAAATGATTAATTTTTATCTTTATTATATTATATCTTCTTATACAAAGCTGTTAAGCGCTACCTTAAAATAGCCGGCGAAAACTACTACTACAGAAGTTACTTAAAGTTATGTCGAAAATTATACTTGTAAATAAATAAATTCTGAATCCGTGATAATAATTGTACAGTTTTTGTTATGATCATTTTAAACACATGTCCATATATTTGAATTAAAATTTTGTTTTTTATGCATTTAAAAGTAAATTAATAACATTTTTATAAACATAAATTTCTTACAAATTATTTATATTTTACTAAATTAAAATATATTTGTTGATTTGACAAAAAGTCCATATCTTTCTACTATCTATGAGCAAAATTTCCGGGCTTACATAATATTATTTGGACTAAAATCTTGATCGTAAATAGACCTAAATCAGGCAATAACACTAAATATATTGCATGTAAAATAACGCGATCAAATTGATCATGTAAGGGTAAAATTCGTTTTTTTGATAAATAATGGTGATTTGCGATCCCTTTATTTTAAACGAACTTTTTTAACAATTCGTTTTTTACCTTGATTCAATTTAAAAGATTAAAATTTTCGGGGCTGAATACGTGAGCACCACAAACAGTGAAGTGGGTGAGGGTTCTATAACGATCGGTATCGGGAGTTGGGTCTTGGAGATTCAGTTTTGGTGGTGCTTTTACCATCTTCCTAGAAAATAAAATACCAAAAAAGGAGTAATGATAGTCAGAAGCCGCACCAAATAGCCATCTGTGGGTGTGGGTTTATATTTATTTTCACTATTAGACATAACTAAAATAGGATTTCCTAAGGAATGGCTTGAGCCTGTGGTTTTGATTATATTTTCCTCTTGCATAACGATGGTGGTTTAGCAAGATCCTTAGTTTTGGGTTAATGATGCTTACTAGTGTTGTTAAATAGTCGAGTTCTCCTGACTTCGACTCCGAGTCGAAGTCGCAATAATCGACTCATTTTTATAACTCAAGTCGCGACTTGAGTTATGAACTTGAGTCGTGAACTCGAGTTATGAACTTAAGTCGTGAACTTGAGTCGCGACTCGAGTTATTTGAGTCGTGAACTCAAGTCGCGACTTAAATTATGAACTTAAGTCATGAATTAAAGTCGACTTAAGTTGTGAACTCATGTCTATATACTTGAGTCGACTAGATAACGAATAATTTTATGAACTTGAGTCGACGACTAGAGGACGAATATTTCAAATTAATTTTAATTAAGATATATGTTGTTTATTACATTTTTTTATTTTAGACTTCCAACTTGAGTTGTAAATAGGAATTATATACTTGAGACATTTAGAGGACAAATAGTTCTATAAATTTGCTCGACTAGAGACTAGACTAGTATATTTCAAATTAATTAGTTATTTTTAATTACGATATTTTTGTTTACTAATATTAAATTTAAAATTAGATAGTCGAGTAATCCTGACTCCGTGTCGAAGTATCAATAACTAGAGTCATTTTTATGACTAGTTCTGAACTTCAGTCGTGAACTCAATAAATAGGTTAATTTAAATTTTATAAACTCTATTACTTATTATATAAGTGTTTATTGGTTGTTTTTGTAGGGGCTTGGATCTTAAAATCGACTTAACTTATGAGCACGAACCCCTTGCACAGATTAATATATCTTAAGTTGATTTTTCTTGACCTTATTAATATATATAAATATATGGTTATTAGAGGTATCAATCGCTAGCTAATTAGATCTATTGAATAGGTTGCAAACCATGTCTAGACGAGTGAAGCTATTTCTACGTAGGTCAGGAATTATTTTATCAGCACCAATTGATATGATAATGGGTGGGTATCAAATAAGTATAGTTCTACCTTTATATGGTGTATATAGTTTTGACCTGGGAGCGGGGGTAAAAAATATGGTCTCAAATTTGTTCGTGAAAAAAATTGACATGTCTATATCTTAACATTTAATTATTAGAAGATAAAAATATCTGCAAGATTACCAAAAATTAGGGTTTAATTTAGGTTCAGGATTTTTAAATTCTATATAACGTAAATTTTGATAACGTGAATTTAATCGAAAAAATCAATTCCTATATAATTATTGGAAATAAAAAAATGTTGCTCGTAACATCAAAAACCGTTTGTAAAAACGTTATGTATGTAAATTGTCGTATTTATTATTACCTCTGTTTGAAATTGAAATATAAAAGATTATAATCTTCAAGGATGAGGTAATAAGAGGCAAATTTTGAGGTCAAATACTCCTCCGGTCAATTGACTGATTTTGACCGATCAATTGACCGACTAAAAAGTATTCAAAAATCATCTTAAAAACCTAGGTTTTTAATTAATTTATGACGATTTACAAAGTTAGGAATTTATTGAATCCTTTGGATGTGCAGCACATGGCTAGAATCTGTTTATTAAAAATTTATGCCAAATACGTTTTATTGAAAGAAGATCATCAAAAAAGCCAAACATATAATTAAATTATAAAATTTAATGATATTTTATTGATAACTTTAAAAAAAAGGCAAATATTGAAAGGATATAAGTCTTCCTTAACCCTTCACTACAAAGGTGGGGTAAATAATACCCCACGGCTTTTATAATGTTGGTAATAAAAAAACCTGAAGATATTTTGACCTAGTTTTTATAGTAGTTATATATTTTCTTATAAAGAATATATCTACCAAATTTCAAGATAATTGATTTGATATTTTTTAAAATATTTGCAGTAGTATAGGTCCCACCTTTGTACTTAAGTAATTTTTTTTTTCACAATTTTTTTTTATTGATAAATATTATTGTATATTACAAACTAAATTTTATTTAGTGATAATACCATAATTAAAGGAAGTACTCAAAAAGAAAATTTTATTTTAGTAACTTTAGGAAAATTTGTCTAACTTTTTTTTGGAGGTAAATATTAATCTAAGATTTAGTATTTATTATCAGCTCCGTGAAGTTGGCAGAACGACTTGAGGTGCAATTGAAAAAAATTATGCCATTATTTAGAGCCTTAATTGCACTTCTATCCGGACATCAGCAGAATAAACCGTTCGTAAGTTATGAGCAAAATAAGGAAAGTGTGAAATTTTGATGCTGGCAGAACGATTTGAGGTGCAATTAACAAAAGTTACGCCATTATTTAGAGTCTTAATTGCACCTAATTGCACTTCTATCCGGACATCAGCAGAATGAACCGTTCGTGAGTTATGAGCAAAATAAGAAAGTGTTGGCACTTTGCCAAAACCAAAAATAAAAGAGATCCTTTTTTGAAACTTAACAATAATGTAGTATATGATTTACTCTTTAATATTCTCAAACCCGGATATCCGTATGTATAACCGTAACCGAGCTATACCTATTTAAAAAACGTGAAGTTGGCAGAACGACTTGAGGTGCAATTAAAAAAAATTATGCCATTATTTAGAGCCTTAATTGCACTTCTATCCGGACATCAGCAGAATGAACCGTTCGTGAGTTATGAGCAAAATAAGAAAGTGTTGGCACTTTGCCAAAACCGAAAATAAATTAGATTACCTTTTGAAACTAGGCAATTAATTAGTTTACAATTTGTGCTTTAATATTCTAAAAACGGGATATCCGTATCATTAACCGCAAGCGAATAATATTTATATATCTGAGAAAAATGACGTAGGCGGAATTATTTATAAAAAGTGAGGTGCAATTAGAGATACTTAAGCCAATAGCCCTTTAATAGAAAATTAAGAATCTATAAAAGGCTAATCAGCAGAATTAACGGCTAGTGAGTTATGAGCAAAATAAGAAAGTGTTGGCAATTTGCCAAAACCGAAAAAAATTACGAATAACTTTCGAAACTTGGCAATTATTTAGTATTCAATTTGTGCTTTAATATTCTCAAAACGGGATATCCGTATCAATAACCGTAACCGAGTTATATTTATTTATTTGAGAAGCGGAAATGAGCGGAACTCTTAGTAAATGTGGGGTGCAATTAGCGATTCTTATGCCAGTGTGTAGCCCTTTAATTGAACATTAAGAATCTTTAAACGGCATATCAGCAGAATTAACGGCTAGTGAGTTATGAGCAAAAAAAGAAAGTGTTGGCACTTTGCCAAACCCGAAAAAAATTAAGAATAACTTTCGAAACTTGACAACTATTTAGTATTCAATTTGTGCTTTAATATTCTCAAAACGAGATATCCGTATCAATAATCGTAACCGAGTTATATTTATTTATTTGAGAAGCGGAAATGAGCGGAACTCTTAGTAAATGTGAGGTGCAATGATTCTTATGCCAGTGTGTAGCCCTTTAATTGAACATTAAGAATCTTTAAACGGCATATCAGCAGAATTAACGGCTAGTGAGTTATGAGCAAAATAAGAAACTGTTGGCACTTTGCCAAAACCGAAAATAAATTAGATTACCTTTTGAAACTTGGCAATTAATTTGTTTACAATTTTTGCTTTAATATAAAACGGGATATCCGTATCATTAACCGCAAGCGAATAATATTTATTTATCTGAGAAAAATGAAGTAGGCGGAATTATTTATAAAAAGTTAGGTGCAATTAGAGATACTTATGCCAATGTGTAGCCCTTTAATAGAACATTAAGAATCTATAAACGGCTTATCAGCAGAATTAACGGCTAGTGAGTTATGAACAAAATAAGAAAGTGTTGGCACTTTGCCAAAACCGAAAAAAATTAAGAATAACTTTCGAAACTTGGCAATTATTTAGTATTCAATTTGTGCTTTAATATTCTCAAAACGGGATATCCGTATCATTAATCGTAACCGAGTTATATTTATTTATTTGAGAAGCGGAAATGAGCGGAACTCTTAGTAAATGTGAGGTGCAATTAGCGATTCTTATGCCAGTGTGTAGCCCTTTAATTGAACATTAAGAATCTTTAAACGGCATATCAGCAGAATTAATGGCTAGTGAGTTATGAGCAAAAAAAGAAAGTGTTGGCACTTTGCCAAAACCGAAAAAAATTAACAATAACTTTCGAAACTTGGCAACTATTTA